GCGTAGCACAAAGCAATTTTGTTTCATTTATAGTAGACTTTTCTTTTCTTTTATGGTAGACTTTTCTTTATTTTGATTTGTGTTGTTTAGTACTTTTCTTATCGACACAGACAATGCCGAGCTATAGCGACAGTTCTTCTGAAGAGCCGGAAATGGATACGTTAAAGTGGTTGGGTTTTGGGGACTTTGGGATTCCAGAGAAGTGTTTTTTGTGGTCGGGATATGATCCTCAAATCAATGCCTGGTGATACGCACGCAACACCTGGCCGTAGGTACTACACTTGTCCATTCTGGTTGAAGAAGGTAAGTAGCTTGAGTATTTCACATAAGTTTTCTTAAAAATATCCATTTGTTAATCTTTAGTTAACTGTTGTGATACTTAATGTATGAGATTGGCCTGATGTATGTAGGGGAATCCAGACCATATCTGGAAATGGTGGGATGAGGCTGTTACAGAGGAATTGGAACGGTTGAAGATTGGCCTTGAGCAGAATAAGGAGAAATTGCAATAGCTTAGCAGGGCTCACGCTTTTGATCCTCGTTTCATGCGTTTGGAGAATCGTTTCCAGTCATTGGAGAGGTCTATGGAATGCAATGACTTGGTCGGAGACATTCCGGAAATGAAAGATGAGATACTCCGGCTTCTAGGCGACTTTGTTTAGATGACGGAGCAAAACGCCAGAGGTGACCACTACTTGATGCTGGCGTTGCTGTTCGTGTTTGCAGCCATTGCGTATATGATAACGTACAAGTCTGTTTCCTTATGTTTAGTAGATTTATATTAAGTAGAATGGTAGACTTATATTATATTGTTGGTAGATTTGTTGTAAAAGACTTGTCATGTTCCCAATTACAGTCGAACGAATGGTAGACTTATATTATATTGTTGGTAGATTTGTTATAATTAATAGCTTTCGAAATGAATAACACATAAATCTACTTAACACAACATAAATAACACAACATAACTTTCATATAAGTCTACTTCATAATAAAAACAAATCTACTTAACAGAAGTCTTTCAACAAACATGAAAGTACAACTACTGATGCAATCAACGTGGCCAATCCATAGCAAACGACGGTACTACCCACCAGAAATTGGCACACTCCAATTTCCAGAAGCAGGATTCACAAAGTTGATCCCCATACGTCTCTAGCAGGTATTCATCTCCCATCCATTGCATGTCTGGTACTTTGAGACAACCACAAATCCTTGTACTTAAAGACTTTTTATAAGCCTGGAAAATCATTTCCACCAGTTCCTCGGGCTTCTGGAAATTGAACGCAGGCATGAAGATCTTTTCCATTGTCAATCTCATTTTCTTTGCATCTTCCTGGGAGAGAGCTTTAACAGAGTTGAATACCTCTGATGTGCCATCCATGGTTAGATGTAACATAGTGTGGCAGTACTTACCCATGAGAAATCCATTGTCTGATGCCATTTTAATGAAATCACACCCTGCTTGGAGGCTATGTTCGAAGAAAATCAGCGATAAACCTCTTCGCAATTGGGCGGATGGATTTCCTGCCGCCAAGCACCGACTGAAGAATGCACCGACCCTTCCATGAACATCCCACTTCCACGGCAAGATAATGTTGATTAAATCAACATTCCTAAGAAAACCCGCTTCGTTAGAGATGTTGTTAAGTGTTTTCGACGAAACTTTTGCAAGACAAAGATCCGCATACGAGTTTGAAGATATTTTTAACAATATCTCGTACAAAAGATCAGAAGGAAGCGACTCGAGATTCGCCATAGGAAAATCGGGATGGGAAATGAATCGTCTCGGTTGTGGTATTTATAGAGAACTCACAAGAACTCGAGTCGTCTCGATTTAGAGAACTCACAAGAGAACTCGAGTCAAGAGAAGCTCTCGAAATCGATGCAACTGTTCGTTGGGAAATGAATCAAGAGAAGTTCTCTAAATCGATGCGACGGTTCGTTGGTAACGGTTTATGGTTACCGTTACCATAAGTCTACCATATGGACGAAAATTGCAAGACGTACAACACTGCAACCATAAGTCTACCAAACAGTAGGTTTTTTTGTAGATAAAACAATTCTTTTAGGACAAAAAAGTAATTTTACTCCATAAAGTCAAATGTCTGCCAAACATTAACTACTAAGTCTACCTCAAGCATGACAAATAACTCTACCATATAAACAAGTCTACCATAAGCATGTCATATGTCTACCAAATCAAGGTTAACTCTGTAAATACCAAACTTAATTAATCTACCACATTGTTATTTCACAAAGTCTACCATACGGCCGATAAGTCTACCAGATTACATAAACTCTACCAAACATACAAACAAATCTACCAACATCTTGTAAGTCTACTTCATGTCATTATTAATCTACCACAAATCAGAATGAAATTTATTTAAAATATAAGTCTACCACAAAACAAACATATCTAATTATCTACCACACCACAAATAAATCTACCAACAGTTTGTAAGTCTACCTCATGTAACATATAATCTACCACTCACCGGAATAAATTTTAAGTGAAATAAGTCTACCACAAGTCAAACAAATCTACTACAATAGCGAAAACTCTACCAACTATATATAACTCTACCATTAAACAGATATATCTACCGCACGTATTGACAACTTTTTTCACATAAATCTACCGCTAAAGAAAATAAGTCTACCAACTCAGAAAATAAATCTACTTCATTGTCAATAAATCTACCGAAAAAGTCAACTATGCGAGAAATTCAACGCTTTTGTTAACAAGTCTACCAAAACTTTTGACAAGTCTGCCATTCATAACAACAAATCTACCGAAACATAATAAATCTACCTCTCATCGTCAAAACTCTACCAAGAAAAATCTACCAACATTTAAAAACTCTACCAACTCTTGAATAAATCTACCATCGCCCTAATAACTCTACCAACAAAATTTCTGCGTTGACCAAATTTTCATAAGTCTACCGCCATTGCTTGGTAGACTTATTAAATTTTGAACGCATAAATCTGCCTACGTGGCATTAAAAAGTAATGGCATTTTCGTAATAAGGTTTTTTTCAACAAAGGCGAAAAGGGTGTTTTAGGTATGCTAGGTTAGTTTTGTAAAAAAAATAAAAGTGCGTCGAACCAGTAATATAGATACTTTCTAAGGTTAGTGTAGTAATCCTCTATTTTTTTTATATGGATTTGTGATTTTCCTCATGATAACCTATCAGCAATTGACAACTTCTAGACGCTATTAATTTTGTTCTGAACTAATTATATCAAAGCCACTTACTAACTACTGTCTTATATATCATGTTTGCTTGGCATTTTTATTCAGGTTATTTTCTTCTTTACCATAGTTTTATATCATTTAATTTTCAAACTCATGCATAGAAGGAAAATAAAAGCTGATAAACAAGTTTACTTAACCATAGTAAGGGTCTGCGTAAACGTTTTGCAAAATACATAAGAGGTACACTTCTTTTTCCATTTCATAATCAAATTAAAATTTGGTGCTTTTTTTCATGATCTTAACTCAATGTAGGAGGAGTGGAGAGAAGGCTTGGTGGCTTTAAGAGCTGGAACAATATATAAATTGAAGAAAGCCCTCCGGAACTTGAGAAAGAGGTAAAATCTTATGCTTTTTTTTTTCTTTTCTTACGTCGTTTGTCTCTTTAAGTTAAAGGTCAGGAGGCGATCAAATTTTACAAATTTCTATGCTTATACCTCCGCTATTTTTAATAAGTAAGACTAGACTTAGCTCTCGCATCAGATATATGTATTAGGCATATACACTTTCATATATTATGTTTTTGTGACATTTGTTTACTATACAGTGCAGAGAAATAAAGAAGAGCATACACATGGAAATTATTTGCCAACTCCTACGTATTGTTATGGGATCGATGAAAAACTGAGGATTTCAAGCGTTATATTAAAATTTTAGGTATCTTGAGATGATTAAAATCATATGGTTGGCGTAAATTTATTGCAAAGCAGCGAGCATACATATATCTTTCCTTTGTTTTTCCTTTTGGATAACTAGGAAATTCTGGGCCAAGGCTCGTAAATCTTCCTAGGTCCGGACCAGCCTTTAATAATTTACCCGTCCCAGCTGCCATTCGATCCTGTAACCTCTTGGATTACTCCAAGATACTTTTTCAGA